AGGAGAAAGAGGTTGAGGAGGCGGAGGCGGAGGAGGAGGAGGAGGAGGAAGAGGAGGAGACTTGACGCGAGAGGAAGTACAGGAACATCATGGCAGGACCCTTTCCCGCTCCAGGGTGCGCGCGCGACGGCCTTCCCCGTACCCCGTCGAAGCAACGGTCTGCAGAGCAGCCGGCGATCGGGTTCTGGCCCGCGACCGCGTCACCGTCCCGAGTCGGATCGGGAGCGCTTGGCAAGAGACACGACAACGAAAACGAGAAGCAGTGGACGAGCAAGCAGAGCCCTGGTCCGCCGAAGGCGAGTCGTATCGATGGGACAGAGTGCGCCCATCCAAACTTAACCGCCCCAACCATCGCAGCTTGATAGCCCCGTTGAGGAACGAGGAGGCGGAGATGGGCAATGGCTTCGCCCCCCTGGCAGGGGAACCCCAAACCAGACGAAGAGGGGTGTCCACAGTGTTGGTTCGGGGTTCCCCACTCGAGGAAAACCTGAACCAAGCCTGGATCTTTCTATTCTCCCAAGGTCTGGTCATCGTTTTCCTGCTCCTCTTCCTCCTTCTCTCCTTCGCGAGCTGCGAGACTACATCGTAAGGCCCGTGCTCGAGGAGCCTCCGTCTGCTGCTTTCCCTGTTCCTGCTTCCCCTCCGCGCCCTCGTTGCCCTCGTCCGTCTTCCGCTTCTTCACAAAACAGTTTCAAAGACCGCGTGCAAATGTTTGCTCGGCAGGTCCTCAGTGGACCTGGCCCTTGTGGGTCGGCCCAAAGCGGCCATCGTGCCATGGCGTTTTTCGGTTTTAGTTTTGCTTTCCGAGCCTGCAGCTGTGGTCGAGCAATGTTCGTTTGGGGCTCCCGCTGTGGGGCCAGCTTACACCCCGACGTTGTCAGACTTGTACGGTAGGTAGCACGCCTCTGATTTCAGCAGAGTGTGTTTTCGTTCGATTAGTTCGACCTTCGGCCCGACACTGTCTCGCCGCCGCCGCCGCCGCCTTCTCTTCCTTCCCCTTCCTCACTCCTGCCCCTCTCCTTGTTTCTCCCAGTCCTCTTCTGTGCATTGCCATTTTCCTGTGCATTACTGCTGTGGCTTCTGCTTCCGGGGCGATGCACCTCGAACCGCCTTCTTGCCAGCCCGGTTTTCCGCTCGCAAGGTTGCCTCCCTCCCTCCGTCCCCCCTCCTCCCTTTCATCCTCCCTCCTCCTCCCCCCTCTTTTTCCTCTTCCTTCTCCTCCCACTCCCCCCTGGATCCCCTTCTCCTCCTCCTCCTCCTCCTCCTCCTCCTCCTCCTCCTCCTCCTCCTCCTCCTCCTCCTCCTCCTCCCCCTCCTCCTCCTCCCCCCATTCAAAATTGACTGGTCTCCTCTGTTTGGCCCGAGCGTCGACGCATATCTACCTACTGTATGACGAATACAAGCCCCGCAATCTACATTTTATTTCCCCCGTGATTTGCTTCGTGCAACTTCCAAGCCCCGCAATTATATTTGGTAGCGGAGCTGGGAGCGATCCCAGCTCGCGATCCACGGAACGTGCGAAGAGTGCTGTGTGGACGCACATTCGCACTTACCTTCACCTCCGCATCGGTACCACCCTCAATCCCTCGAGTAGTCTGTGTCTATGTCTGTTCTGCAAGCCAACCGGCAATTCGCCTCGGACACCTGGCCCGACTGCGAGGGCAACAGCAGAAGACGTAACCGCGCTGAGGAGCGAATCGCCCACAGGAGCGCCACGACGTTTTCGAATCGTCGCAAACCCACAAACGCTGGCCGCAGCTTCGCGTCGGGCATGACTGAGAGGCTCCATCCTTGGCTAGCGCCGTACCTCGGTACGTGTGCGATAGTGTTGGCGGTCCTTGTGGCGCATCGCACCTCTTGGGTGGAACATTGCAACTCAATGTGCAAATTTCACCGATATCGGCTTCGACCCAGGTTGACAACGGCATCATCATGTTTGCCCCGCACTTCGACATGGCGTTCGTCCTTATGCAGGCCCGAACCCCAAGGCGCCTACGCAGCCATCAACGTGGTGAGGTTTTAAGGAGGAGGATCTCCATCTTGACGTTCTGGGGCAGCATCCTCGTGTTGTTCGTGGCCTGCCTGTTCCGGCCCTCAGGCATTATGCCTGCTGGAGCTGGCGCGCAGGGCGGCGGCAGCCGCGGTGCCATCGCATCCCGCCAGCCGCCCTCATGGTCACCCGAGAGCGAGTCCGTGTGTCCTTTTCGCCACAGGCTGCAGGGCTTGCTCCCCTGGCGCGTGCTAGCCACCGATATGGACAGCGCTCGACAATGCGCTGCCATCACCCTCAACCTCGGTGGGGCCGCTCGCGAGCTCACGCGCTCCATGAGCTTCGCGGAGATGACGGATGGAGGCATGGTCCACAGCCAACCAGAGGGCGCCGTGACCTACCTCATTCCGAACCTCGCCACGCAGTTCGGTTCACTACGCGAGGAGTCGCGCCTCCAAGTCAGCCGCGAACTCTTCGAGTTCTCGAGGCGACGCAAGGAACCTCCCGACGCGCTGCTCTCGCGTGTTCTCACGGTGCGATACCGAGCTACGCACAACGATGGAGCTGCGATGGCGTGGGAAGGCTACAGCTGGCTGTTCCTCCGAGCAGTCGGTGGTGCAGATAGCCAGCTCATGGCGCTGCTCCAGCCGCGCGGCAGCCGATGCCCAGCCACAGAGGCCGAGTTCGACAGGTTGGCGACTATGCCCAGGCGCGTGGGTCAAGGCGTGTGGAGCATGCGCCAAACAACTTTGCCGGCGCGCTTCGTGCGCTGCCATCGTTCTGAAGATTCGTGGACGTGGCCAGCGACGGCGATGCGCGTGGCCCCGGGCGCACTCGAGGTCTCGACCCCTGGGCTGCCGGTGCCGCCGAGCATCCTGGAACAGGAGGTGCCCCGATGTCCGCTATTGGCCCGTCGTTGAGCGCCGCGCCGCCGCGGGCAACGCGCCCTGCTGCCGCATTGGCGCCCGCGCTCGGGGCCGACAGCGACGGCGGGGCCTCCCGGAACAAGCGCGGGCCCGGGCGGGGGGGTCAACCGCCGTGCACCCGAGCCCCGAGGTCTAAGCCCTGCCAGATAGATGCTCAGCTGTTCCGGCAAAGCAATATTGCTAAACGGCAGTGGCGTAGACGCAAGCGACGCCCCACTCGTAAGGCGCGTGGGTCCAAGAAGGACAGCAGCGGTTTCTTTAGGACATGCAAAGGCAAAAGGTAAGGGTTCTCAAGTAAGCATTTTTCGTGGAGTTCTCATGCGCCCAAGTAGATCAGGTTCCCATGGGCGGAACATGATGGACCCACGAACCCGGAAAGGGATATAGACATGTGGAGCATGGGCACGTTTTCACGATACCCAACGGGGCAACACCTCACGAAACATCCCACGAGACACCTCACGAAACATCCCACGAGACACCTCACGAAACATTCCGCGAGACACCTCACGAAACATTCCAGGAGACACCCCGCGAAACATTCCACGAGACACCCCACGAAACATTCCACGACGACAGGCAACCACTCAACCAAGGCGGTGTGGTCGTGCTGGGGAGTGGTCGTGCTGGGGTGTGGTCGTGCTGGGGGGTGGTCGTGCTGGGGTGTGGTCGTGCTGGGGGGGTGGTCGTGCTGGGGGGTGGTTGTGCTGGGGCGTGGTCGTGCTGGGGCGTGGTCGTGCTGGGGCGTGGTCGTGCTGGGGTGTGGTCGTGCTGTGGTGAGGTCGTGCTGGGGTGTGGTCGTGCTGGGGTGTGGTCTTGCTAGGTCGTGCTGGGGTGGGTCGTGCTGGGGTGTGGTCGTGCTGGGGGTGGTCGTGCTGGGGGTGGTCGTGCTGGGGCGTGGTCGTGCTGGGGGTGGTCGTGCTGGGGTGTGGTCGTGCTGTGGTGGTCGTGCTGGGGTGTGGTCGTGCTGGGGTGTGGTCTTGCTGGGGTGGTCGTGCTGGGGTGTGGTCGTGCTGGGGTGTGGTCGTGCTGGGGTGTGGTCGTGCTGGGGTGTGGTCGTGCTGGGGGGGTCGTGCTGGGGTGGGTCGTGCTGGGGTGTGGTCGTGCTGGGGTATGGTCGTGCGTCATGTCCTGCCAAAATTCCAGGAAATCGTACAAAAACAAACGAATTAGTCGAGACATCATCGAAATTCCTTCGCGCGGGGCGCTTTTCCGCGTCGCGGTCGGCTCTGCAAAACAAGCGTTTCGCTCGAGACATCCTCGGCAAACTCTGCGGAGCAAGCGTTTCGCTCGAGACATCCTCAACTCTGCAAAACCAGCGCCTCGCTCGAGACATCCTCAAGAAATTCTGAAAAACAAGCGTTTCGCTCGAGACTTCCTCAAATTTTAATTCGCCGGCCTCCTTCGACCTCGTTATTTATCAGGGAAAAAATTCGCCGGCCTCCTTCAAGTTGGCACCGGGGGACAGGTTTACCCACTAAAAGAGAACCCTGGGCCTATGCCCTTTCCGGGAAAAAAGGCAGCGCGACGGCGGGCGCTCCTCTGTCTGGCGAAGGAAAAGGCAAACGCCGCAATCCGCTAGGCTATGACGGGGCCGTCATGACGCGCTGCATTTTTAGGAGCGAGTGCCGCTTGAGTGCCCGCGAGGCACCGCGCCGCCGCCGCAGGGCAGCGGCGTCGGGGGTCGCGCAGACTCGGGCCCCGCAGCCTGCACCCTGGACTCAGGCCTTCGTGCTGGGATCTCGGGAG